ATAAAAAAAAAAAAAAAAAGATGGGCCTGGTGCTAAGATTAATACCCAATCAATGCTTAAAAGATGACATTATATATAATAAAGGTACACCAGTTTGCTGTTTGGGGTTTCTACTCTTTTAGTTGATTTATAAAACTCTTAAATCAGCATGGAAGTGTGTACCTATATTTTCAACACTTAGAAAGCTGAGACAGGAAGATAATAAGTTTTTTTTTTTTCTGGTACCGGGGATCGAACGTGGGACCTTGCACTTGCAAGGCAGGCAGTGGAACCACTGAGCTAAATTCCCAGCCCATGAAGATAATAAGTTTGAGAATACCCTGGGCTGGTTCAAAACATAGCAAGTTCAATATGTAGTGAGTACCTATCTCAAAAAATTTTAAAAAATAAGTAAACTTCTTAAACCATTACTGTACTATATTAAGTAATACTGGCTATGAATATCTGGACAGAAGCTTAAGATGCTTATGAATCTGCTTAAGAGTCATCCTCTCCAAATTTTATATATAGTAAGTTTTAGATTAGTTTGAATAGATGTCCATGTTCAATGTGCCAAAGAGTCATCAATTGAACATTAGTGAACAGTCTCCTTTTTATACAAAACATAGCCTAAGATATTTAGGTGGGGAGTCTATTTCATATTATTATTATTTAGAATACAGTCTTCTTGACATGCTATTTTATGACTCGCAAGAAGAGAGATTTGTGTCTACTTACATTCTCTGCTGCATCACTAGCACATGGCACAAAAGAGGAGCTCAGAAATACTTGTTAAGGGTGTGAATGCCTACATCAAGTGATAATGCATTACAAAAGAGAGTACCACACACTGAGGTACTTTTAAAAATTATTAGTACATTTTCATAATACATAGCAGCTATGTATGTGAAATATACACATATATAAACACATCTTCATGCTTTTTGCTACCCCATCCCCTCCACTCCCTCACCCCTCCATCTCTAGATTCCTTCCCCACTCTTAAAAGATCTATCTTCCTGATTCCTATCATCCATCATTTTTCCCTTTAAATTATCTATATTTAAATATAATTTATACTTAAATTATTTATATAAGATAATCCATGTGATATTTGAACTCGTGCATCTAATTTGTTTCCCTTTACATTATGGTCTCAAAGTGTATCCTTTTCCTACAAAGGACTGAATTTATCCTTTTGTACTCCATCGTGTATATATCCCACATTTTTTTTAACCCATTCATCTGTTTATGGACATATAGACTGCTTCCAAGATTAGCTATTGTGAGCTGTGCTGCTATAAACATGGGTATGCATATATCAATTTAATATAATGTTACTAATTCTTTCAGGAAGATTTTTATTGAGCGAATATCTAGGTCAAACGGAATGTCTAGTTTTAGTTTTTTGAAGAATCTCTACACTAATTTTCATAGTGATTGTACTGGTTTATATAGCTTTTAAGAATTTTTGTGGTTCGGTTATTTTGCAACTTGCATTCACTAACACCCATGTACTTATAGTTGTTAAATCTGTGTTTCTTTTTCAAACATTTCCCTTTTCAGGGTGGAATTGCTTTTAAGGGTGAACGAGGTCCCCCTGGGAACCCGGGGTTGCCAGGTCTCCCAGGGAATATGGGACCTATGGGTCCTGTTGGTTTTGGCCCTCCTGGTCCAGTAGGAGAAAAAGGCATACAAGGTATTGCAGGAAACCCAGGCCAGCCAGGAATACCAGGTAAGTTTAATAAGTCTGTTTGGTTTTAAATTTGGTGCTTGAAAGCAGAAATTTGTTACCATTTGGCAACTCTTTGCTTCCTTTCCTGAGAGATATATTTTTCTGACCATTTTTATTTGAACTCTTAGAGTTCCTTAGCAAAGGAATACATGTTTTGTTTTTTTAAAGAGGTGTTTCCTCTCTAAATTTTTTGTCTTTCTAGTTATTGCTATTTTTGTAATTATTGTCTATAACAAGTAATTCAAGGTTTAACAAATAATTATAATAAAAGCACATATGTAGCTACTACACACATTAAGAAATAGAGAACTGTCAGCACCCCAAAAGACCTCACTCTTCTCTCCCTGGCCTTTCCTAATCACAATCCCCTTCCTCCTCTCCAAAAGTAGCTACTGTTCTGACTTTTACATAATTACCTTCCATTTCTCCCTTTTTTAATCACTTATATATGCTTTTTGAAGCAATTTGGCTTCTTTTTGAGCTTCATGTTAATGGAATCACGGGGTAAATGCTATCTATTTTAAATTTATATTCATTTTCTTTGATGTTTTGTTTTGTTTTTTGAGACAGGGTCTGACCATGTAATAGCCTCAGACTCACTGTGTAGCCCAGGCTGGCCTCAATTTATGGCAGTCCTCATGCTTTAGCCTCCACAGTGCTGGAATTACAGGAGTGTGCCACCATGCCTGGAATTCTTTTTTGTCGTGGTTTGTTTTTTTGGTTTTCCTTGATTTATAGGACCCCACTCTGGGTGTGTGTGTGTGTGTGTGTGTGTGTGTGTGTTTGTGTATTATTATCGATTCATCCATTCTGTTGTTAATGAAAAAATAAGTTAGTTACAATTTAGGCCTATTATAAAATATACCTCTGTATGCAATATATATCATTTGCTCTGGTGTTTCTGTGCTCATACTTCTCTAGGCTAGAGGTTGACAACTCCCTAAATATATATTGTGTATATTGGCCCATGAACCAAATCTTGATTACCCTTTATTGTTACAAATAAAATTTTCCTTTGAACACATCCAGTCTCCATTGTCTAGAGTTGTTTTTGTACAATGACAACAGAGTTGAATAGTTACTATAGAGACCGTATGGTCCACACAGCCTAAATTACTTACTGTCAGGTCCTTCAAAATAAAGGCTTACCAATCCCTGTGCTAAGGCATATATTTAAAAGTAACATTTTCAAAGCAACTAGAAAATTTAGCTTAACTAGAGAATCTTTAGCTTAACTAGAGATTTCCCAAGTCTATCCAGAGCAATTATACCAATTTATACTACCACAAGAATTATTGGAAATTTCTTGTTGCTCTACATTCTCACAGACATGTTATATTGTCTTGTGTTTGCCAGTATAAGTGTGATATATTTCTACAGATGAGTTTTGCATATATCTGATGAAAGTTTAGTGTCTTTTCATGTTTATTGGCCATTTGAATTTTCTTTTGTGAAATGCTTCTTCAAGTGCCTTTTTTATTTACTATTTGCTCTATTGGAATATTTCTTTTTGTTTTTGATTTGGAAGCATTCTATATATTGTGTGTATTATTAGTTCTTTGTTAGATATTCATTTCGCAAAAATGATATCAACTATACTTGACATTTGCATTTGTATGCTGCCTTTTTTTGTTTTTGTTTTTTTTGGGGGGAGTACCAGGGATTGAACTTGGGTCCTTGCGCTTGCAAGGCAGGCCACTGAACCGCTGAGCTAAATCCCCGGCCCTGTATGGTATCTTTAATAAGCAGAAATCTGTTTCAGTGTAATCAATTTTATCAGTCTTCTCTCTCGTGGTTAGTGATTTTTGTGGCATGTTTAGGAAATTCATCTTTGTCCTGAGCCTACTTCAAACCCATATTTCAATGAATGAGAATTAGATGTCACATGCATAAAACCTTAGTTATCATTAGTTAACCATAAAGAGTATTTTCCTTGTTTACTACAGTTTGATTTTTTAAGGCTTCTTTTACCTAGATTTAAATGATGTTTTCATATACCATCTTATATTAGGTCTCTGTAGAGAAAGAGCGCCAATATGGCAAATGAATAAGTAGATAGATAGATAGATAGATAGATAGATAGATAGATAGATACATACATACATACATACATATATACATACATATACATACATAGATAAATACATAGATTGATAGATGAGAGGTGGTTTATTGGGGGAACTGGTTCATGTGACTCCAGAGGCTAAAAGATCACATGATAGATTTTCTGCAAACTGGAAAGCCAATCCATGACTCATTCCATGACTAAAGGCCTGAAAACCTGGGAGGATGCTAGTGCAAGTTCTAGAAATTGAAGGGTGCAAAAACTGGAGTTCTGGTGTTCCAGAGCAAGAGATAGGTATCCCATCTTTGAGGAAGAGAGCAAATTTTCCTCTTTTCTGCCTTTTTGTTCTATTCAGGCTCTCAGTTTTTGGGTAATGCTGGATCACATTGAGCAAAGGCAGAACGTCCTTAGTCTGTTGATTCAAATAACAGTCTTCTACCACCCCCACAGACATGCCTAGAAACACTTTTTTATCAACTATCTGGATGTCCCTTGATCCAGGCAAGTTGACATCTAAAATTAACCATCACATATCCATAATCATGGAAGCTATTAAACCTATAATAAACTTTTTATCTTTTAACTTTCACCCTTCTCTTTGATATCTTCCTGGAATATATAGTGTGAGATTGTTTTTCTTATGGAATTTTTTTATTCTGAATTTTCACAGGATGTTTGATGATTCCCTTTTTTGTTTTTAATGAAAAGAGATCTCTAATCAAGTAAATATTTGGCATTTACCACTGGTTCACAGGTCCTAAAGGTGATCCGGGTCAAACGATAACACAGCTAGGAAAGCCTGGGCTGCCTGGCAACCCAGGTAGAGATGGTGAAGTAGGTCTACCAGGTATGTGAGAAATGTATTTCAAAACATCTTCACCACTTGTTGGCTTCTTTCTTTCAAATTCTTCTATTTGAAAACTGTTTTCTCCCTAGGTGACCCTGGGCTCCCAGGCCAACCGGGTTTGCCAGGAATGCCTGGTAGCAAAGGAGAACCAGGTATTCCTGGCATTGGTCTTCCTGGACCACCAGGTCCCAAAGGTATGTTGGACTAGGGAGTGGGTAATAGATTAGCTAATTAGTATGACATTGTTTTATTAAAGATGTGTTAATTGTAGCTTTTTCTAAGTGCTATAATCAGTTTAAATGAAAATTCATAAATTGTACTTTAATGATCTTTATGTAAAACAGTCCCATCATAGAAATATGTCAATTGTTGTTTGCAAAGTTGACTTATGAGCTAAAAATACTTCATGAGAAGTACTGAATTTTCATGTTCTCAGACTTATCACAGTTGCTGGTACACAGTAAGCACTCCATAGATATTTGTGAATTAATAGTTTGTAATAAACAGAAAACAGGCTAACCGTACACCTATATCCAGTGTTTTATTCTCAGTAAAAATTCTCTAATTTATTGAAATTTTATAGGGTTTTATTTCAATTGTGTTTTATTTCTCCAGAATTTATTCTCATAAATGGCATACTTGTGAAAAGAAAGTACTTAAACACGTCCTCACTCATTTATGCTAGATGCTCTCAAGAATAGCAGATTTGTGGGCCAGGGATTTAGCTCAGTGGTTCCGGTGCCTACCAGATTTGGCCAGGCATGGTGGTGTATCACCAAACTGGTAATCCCAGCACTCTGGGAGGCTGAGGTAGGAGAATCCCAAGTTTAAATTCTCTGGCTAACTTCTGGAAGGGGCTAGGAATGTAGCTTAGTGTGAATGTCCTGAGTTCAATCTTCACTACCGCAGAAAGGAGTTAGGTTTGAATTTATGTGTGTGTAATATTTACAGTTGCTTTTAGCTCATTTCCAGAAGTACAGGGTAGGCATTTCATTAGTCAACTTTCCTATTGCTGACACACAATACATGACACCCACAATTAAAAGGAGGGAAATTTTAATTTAGCTCACAGTTTTAGGGTATTTAGTAAATCACTGGCTGGCAATGAGGCTGAAACATCATGGCAGAAGGTGTGGCATAGAGAAGGTGCTTAGTTCATGGCAACTGAAAAGCAGATCAAAGGAATGGCATCAGAGAGGAAGGAGACAGGTACCAGGTAGAATACCAAGGTCATGCTTCCATAACCCAGCCAGTTGCACCCAAAAATATCCTCCACTAATCCCTTGGGCAACTCACAACCCGATCAAATTGACAATCAAGCTTAATCATCTTACACACTATAACCAACCATTAAGTGGAAGAGAAATTGTCCCTTGTTTTTGTGTGAAATTCATGCCTGTGCTTCTTTCTGATTTATTATATAATGGCCCTTTTTTAATCAGAAGACAGACATTACTTTTATGTGACTATAGGAGGGTCAAGATGATTGAGAGAGAATAACAGCTATCCATAAGGCTTGATCCTAAATACTCATACAGAATGCCATTGCTCTTTTAACATCGTACTGTAGTCACTAAGCATGACAGGGTAAGGTAAGACTATGGGGTGGAGAATTTAAATGTATTTCTTAAAATCTATTCTCTTTCTCATTTTACAGGTTTTCCAGGAGTTCCAGGACCTCCAGGAGCACCTGGGATCCCCGGAAGAATTGGTCTAGAAGGTCCTCCTGGGCCACCAGGCTTTCCAGGACCAAAGGTCTGATACATTTTAAATTATTACTTCTCATTTTCTTAGCTACTCGATCTTTTCTAGTCCTGACTCTATTTTAACTTAGACATTGTCCCAAGTCTTTGCTATATAGATAAATTTTATTTGATTATGTTTTCATTTAAAACTATTTAATCCCAAACTGTCTTTTCATCCTGTTTTACAGTGGCCAGTTACTCAGTTAGATGCAGTATTATAAACATTAGCTTCCCCTGTACTTCTCTATTGAATCACTATCGTGTTTCATCTCTGCCCATGCCTATGTGATGTTGGTTAAAAAAGTGTTGAATGTATCAAGACCTTTCCAAATTATCTTTCTCTGTGCCAGTTCTAACAAGATACATAATGCAAATAATTGCTGTTGACTTAGATATACTAAAAAAAGTTATAATAAATAATTCTGTACTTGTTATTTTCCATTCCTTTTATTTTATCTTATCTAATTTCAAACTTTCCTCAGTAAGCTTTCAAGCAAACTGTTATGGTATGTAAATTACCTTTTTTGTCCCTGTGTTTTTATGCTGAATTGATTAAATTTCCTGGCTTTCATCATTATTGCTTCTTTGCCATAGGAAAAACAACTGACCATGATCCCAGATCTTATGAGAAAATCATTTCTCAGTTCATTGTTTTTATTATGAACATTTTCAAGTAAACACAAAAGTGAAAAGAGTAGTACAGTATAATTTTGTATGTCTCACCTAGGTGCAAAATTATAAAGATTTTACTGTATTTGCTATTCCTTTTCTTCTTCACTTATTTTAACCCAAATCTTAAAATTATGCCACTTGTCCCAAGTGCTTTAGTACTGATATTCATATATAAGTAAGTGAACATTGTACACAGAATCACAAAGCCATGATTATGCTTAATAAAATTAAAAACCATCATTCGGGATTATCTAGTACTTGGTTTATAACCACACTTCTTCACTTGGATAGACTATTATTTAATCTCATTCTCTATTGTCTTTTCTTATTCTGAAATCAGTCCAGCTCATGTAATTTGTTTTACTAAGCCCTGTTTCCCATCCTTTAAGATGACATACCAAGCCAGGTGTGGTGGCGCATGCCTGTAATCCCAGCATTTGGGAGGCTGAGGCAGGAGAATCACTGTGAGTTCGAGACCAGCCTGGGCTACATAGTGAGTTCCAGGTCAGTCTCAACTACATAGTGTGATCCTGTCTCAAAAAACAAAACAAAACAAACAAACAAACAAAAGATGGCATACCAGTTATCTTTTATTTAATTATCCTGCTTTTCTCCCCATGGAAAAAAAGTATTACCTTGTATTTTCTGCTGTAAATTTTTCATAGTAAACAGTAAGCGCCATAGAAAGTCATAGGAGTTTTTATTGTCTTTTGTCATGTGTATGCCTAAGGGAGAGCCAGGATTTGGGTTACCTGGGCCACCTGGGCCACCAGGACTCCCAGGTTTCAAAGGAACACTTGGTCCAAAAGGTGATCGTGGTTTCCCAGGACCTCCAGGTCCCCCAGGACGCACTGGCTTGGATGGGCTACCTGGACCAAAAGGTATGGCGACTATTGCTGCTTTTCAATTTGCTTTTATCTTTTATAGAAATTGAAACTTTTGGGAAAACTTGTCGGTGATAAGCCCAATTATCTGAGAAGCTCATGCTACCTTTTTGTCATGGGTACACTCTTCCTCTTCCATTGATTACATTTACCTTTTATTTCATTGGGTACATAATACAAAGGTATATGTAAAAAAGTATCAGTGAGAGGTTATTACTTCCTCTCCATCCCTATATGTGTCCACTTTTCAGTTTCTTACTTATCCCTTCCAGTATTTCTTTGTGAAGAAAAAATATTAGCCAATACAAAATGTGTGTGTGTGTGTGTGTGTGTGTGTGTATGTGTGTGTGTAGTTTTTCTTCATTTCTTCAAAAAATAGGGATAGGGTAAATTATCTTTTGGCCTTTTTGCATTTTGCTTATTTCACTTAACTTTATATCTTAGAGATCACCCCATATTAGTATATAAAATTCTTCATTTAAAAAAAAGTTACCTAGCAGCCAGGCTTGGGAGCACATGCTTGTAATCCCAGCAGTCCGGAGGCTGAGGCAGGAGGATCACTGGGAATTCAAGGTCAGCCTGGGCCACAATAGTGAGTTCAAGGCCAGCCTGAACTACATAGTGAGACCTTGTCTCAAACCTTCCCCACCCCAAAAAGGGTATTTAGTATTGAATAGCATGGCTACGTTATAGCTTATTTTACCAGTGCTAGTTAATAGTGTGTGGATTTGTTTGCCAAACTTATTACAGATAGTGCCACAAAGAATAATCTTTCATTCACATTATTTCAGATGTTTACAGGTACAACAGTAGAATGAAGTGATGAAAATGGATTTTCTGAGTAAAGGGTAAATGTATCCTTAGGTATTGTCAGATTCCTCTCCATTTGTAACATTTTATACTTTCACCAGCAATGTATGAATGTGCCAATTTTTCCAAAGCCTTGCTAAGTGAGTATTCTGAAAAGCTTCTGGATTTTTGTTAGCATCGTGGAAACAACAGGTTTCTTAGCATAGTTTAAAAATAATTCTATTGTGAAAGAATTCAAATGTACAGAAAAAATTTAAAGAATTGAACAATGAAGTTATGTATCTACTCCCTAGGTTTTACACTTAACATTTTGTCGCCCTGACATTTTATTTTTTAAAATTCCAAGTATATGAGCCAGGGATATAGTTCAGTGCTAGAGCACTTGCCTACTATGCTTAAGGCTCTGGATTCAATCCTCAGCACCAGAAAAACAAATCCATGTATACTGCAAAGTATAATATATTACAGTGACTACTATATATCCATCACTGATATTCTATTATAATGTTTTACTATCCATATTTTGTCACATATCTATTCATCTGTCATTTCGTCTATTCATGGATCTCCCTTTTGATATATTACAAAATAAATTACAACAACAGTACACTTCTCCCTAAATACTTCGACACTCATATCATAACTAAAGGTCCATAGGTTTTTAAATAAAGAATACATTATAAATTAGATGCGCACATCTAAAGGGTACATTTGCTAGATTTTGACATATGTATACACTTTTGTAACCCAAACTGTTATTAGGATACCACTCCAAGGCTGCAGATATAGGTCAGTAGTAGAGCACTTGCCTAGCATCCCTGGGTTCAGCACCTAATACTGTGAGGGAAAAAAAAAAGAAAGGAGAGAGGGAGGGAGAGTGGCAGAAAGAGAAGGACAAAACAGAGGGTAGAAGAAAAGGAAAAAGAGAATATGATGACATCCCAGAAAACAATGTTATGATCTTTTCTACTCACTCCCTAACTTAGTGTGCACATTGGCAACTATACTTATGATTTATTTGGCATAATTTAGTCTACCCATTCTAGAACTCCTTAGAGATGGAATCATGCTATATACATTCTTTGTAAGATTTCTTTCATGAAGCATATATTTTTATATTAACCATGTCATGTTTATTAGCAGTTCTTACCTTTTGATGAAATGAATATACCATGGAGGCCTGGACTTCGTCGAGATTTTGGTTATTATGTCTGAAGCTGTTAAGAGCAACTTTTTCTAAATGTTTTAATGGATATCTGCTTTCATTTTGCTTGAATAAATAAGTAAAATTAAATCTGTTGGATCATAAGATAGAGATATGTTTAGTTATGTAACGAACTACTAGGCCTTTTCCCAAAATGGATGAACCATTTTAAATTAACATCAGTATGATATGAAAGTTTTAATTGTGTGCATTCTCCCCAATATTAGAATTTTGGTAGGTGTATGCTGGAGTCATATTGTAGTTTTAATTTACGTTTTTCTGGTGACTGATATTGAACATTTTAATCACTGTGGAGGACTATTTACATGTTCAAATATTTTGACCTTTTTAAAAGGTGGGCTGTTGGTCATTTTTTTTGTCAACTTGAAAGTGATCTTATATATTTTGCATACCACTCCCTTCTGAGATATATGTGCATAAGTATTTTATCCCTATATGATTGTTCTGTTTATTTTTAGTGTGTTTTGATGAAAACATTTTAATTTTATTGAAGTTGTGTTTATAAAACTTTGTACTCCTAATTTTAATTTTCTGTGTCTTGTCTAAGAAACATTTACCTAGCTTAACACTGACAAGAGATTCTATTTTTTATTTTATGAATTTTATAGTTTAAAAGTTTTCATGTTTAAAAACATCATCCACTTCAAATAATTTTTTTCAGTATCACACGTCTAAAACAGCCCTCACTCCATTGTATTACTTTAGAATCTGTGACAAGCCAAGTATTTATGTATGAGTGGATTTCTGTACTATTAATTCTATTTTATTTATGTATTTTATTGTCCTTAAACCGGTGCCAAGCTGTTTATATTACTGTACCTTTATATTAAGACTTAAACTCATATAATGTAAGTTTTCCAGTTTTGTTCTTTTTTTTTTTTTTAATTCTTTGGCTATACTAGTTTTTTTGCTTTCACTCTAAGAATGGCTTAATACGTCCCTCATGACGAATGAACCATCATTTCATATGTTTAAGGGCTGTATTCTTTCCATGTAATCTATTCGTGTCCTTGACAGTTTCTTTGTTGCTTTTTTTAATCCCCTTGATTTTGAGTATTCATAATTAAATACAAGAAAATAATTAGCACAGCTAGTTTGGCAATTGTTCCACATTTTTTTAGTTTGCAAGGAACTGGACCTTCGTGGTCAATATTTTGGAATGTAGAGAATAATCTGAACAAGTCTGTATTACTGAATAATATTGGATTTATTTCTACTAAGGCAATAATATAGCCCATTCCAATTTTAACCAGGATAAATTCTGCCAGAAAAAGCCCTAAACTAGCTCACACAAAAACTTATGTAAGCTGTTTTACTTTAATGTCTTTGACTATATATTTCTAGCCAGCTGTCAACTATGTTACTCAAAAGTTGAGGTTGTGTTTCCCATCACTTATCTCCCCCAGATAGAGACCCATAACTCCAAAACTTGCAGATGAAAATATGCAAATCATAAACAATGTGGTGATTTTCTTATGAAAATTACTCAACCACTATATTTTACACATATATGTCCTTGAGGCAGATTTTGTGAAGAAATGGATTAAAGCCTGTTTGAAGCATGAAATTTTTATTGAGTATCTGCTTGCTTATTTTTCGGTGGAAATTTGAGATTTCCATATCCTAGTCTTGCAGATGAAAATATGCAAATCATAAACAATGTGGTGATTTTCTTATGAAAATTACTCAACCACTATATTTTACACATATATGTCCTTGAGGCAGATTTTGTGAAGAAATGGATTAAAGCCTGTTTGAAGCATGAAATTTTTATTGAGTATCTGCTTGCTTATTTTTCGGTGGAAATTTGAGATTTCCATATCCTAGTGTTGGTCATTCTCAATTAATATTAAATTATAATTTAATTAATATAATTATTATAGTATAATATAATTATTATAACTAAATAAAACTAAATTCAATTAAAATTGAATTAGAGTTATTTAGGTGCTAAAAGAAAAAATATTTGGGGAATGCTTCTGTGTAATTCCTTTACTCCTCCAACATATATTCTACTTCTGTGCTATGGAATATTTTAATTACTAGAAGCACAGTAATGTAAATTCTGTTTTTGAAGATCTCACAGTTCATTCTCTACTATAACGGAAATCTAGGTGGTATTTATGATGGTGGTTGCTTTAATGAGAACTTTTATGAATGCAAACCTCTAATATTTTGAATTAATAATTCACAGAACTCAGCAAGCAATATAAATTAAAAACACATTCTCTTCAATGGCATTTGGAGCAATCACGCAGATAAAGCATAATCCAGGCAGTAAAATAAACCTTAACAAATTAAAAATATTGAAATTAATAAGTTAATCCTCTTACCATGATGGACTTAACACATAAAGAAAGTCATCTCATACCTCAAAGAACTCGGGTTAGAGGTTCCATTTGACTCAGCCATCCCTTTGCTGGGTATCTTTCCAAAAGAATTAAAAGAATCATACAACAGTGATATGTGCGCACCTATGTTTATAACGGCACAGTTTGTAATAGCTAAAACTTGGAAACACCCTCCCTATTTGCCCATCAGTTGGAGACTGGATAAAGAAGATATAGCTTTTCTATAAAGTGGAGTGCTACTCAGTATTCTTTATTCCTATCATTCTGACATAGTTTTTGTTATTTTGTCATACCTCAGTTGTTAGATCCAGCTCGCATGTTGTCTTGTTGTGTTTCAGATATCATTGATTTTGTGATCTACTACATCTACCTTGTCTTCACTTTCTCACACTCTGTCCTCATGTTGGACATGAGGATCTTTTAGCCATGCTTTCTATTGAATTTTTCATATCTTGAAGTCCTCCTTGATTTATTTTTAGGTTGTCCAGTTTCTCTATGTCCAGAACATTTCTGAATAACCCATCAGTCAAAGGGGTAATCAGTAGGAAAATTATAAACCATTTTGAACTGAATGAAAGTGAAAGTAACATAAAAAAATGTGTGTTATGCAGAGGAAGGCTTGGAAGTATATATTAAAAGTTATATTACAAAAAATAAAGATCTTAAATAAATTATCTAACTTTTCATTTTATGAAACTAGAGAAGGAAAGTGAATTGAAATTTATACAAGCAGAAGGGAGACTATAATAATAATAACAGCAGATTATCAATGTATAAATGGGAAAAATAGGAAAAAAAACTTAAACCAATTGAGGTTCTTTGAAAAGCCTAATAAAATTAATACACCTCTGTCTATTATGACCAAAGGAAAAAAGAGATATACAGGTACCAATATTAGAGATGAATTGGGGATATAATTCCAGGTTCATTACAGACAATAAAAGAATAATAAGGGAATATGACAAATACCTACATGACCATAAATTTGACAACTTAGATGAAATAGACCAGTTTCTTAAAAGGTGTAGGCTGTTTTTTCTCTCTCTTTTTTTTTTTTTTGCATTATCACTTTGTTTTTCCTTATTTTAAGTTTATTGGTACATTTTAGGTATACAGTACAGTTACATTCATCATTGTGATCTTGTACCTTTACATGATGTATCTTGGTTTTTATTTTTCTCTGTTTTACTGCCCTCCCTTTATCCCCTTCCACCCTTCCCTATTTACAAAGACTTTATTTTCATTTTTTCCTTTTCTCATATTTTTTCTTTTCATTTCTTACCTTTCCTCTACCCTTCCTGCTTCCCCAACTCCTTTAGCCCTTTATACATTCATCTGTGATCTTGTACCTTTACATGATGTATCTTGGTTTTTATTTTTCTCTGTTCCACTGCCCTCCCTTTATCCCCTTCCACCCTTCCCTATTTACAAAGACTTTATTTTCATTTTTTCCTTTTCTCATATTTTTTCTTTTCATTTCTTACCTTTCCTCTACCCTTCCTGCTTCCCCAACTCCTTTAGCCCTTTTCCTCCTCCTACACATTATCAATTATACATTTTGATCCTTATTTACCCTTTTAGTTTTTCACATCAGGCTAGTGATACACAGTGATAAAGAAATAGGTGACAATTCCCCAAAATGAATGTAATTATTATGTATCACGTATTTACCAATTATATATGTTACAATATTAATGTTATATGCACACCAATATATACTTAAAAATAGGTAACCCAGATATATATTTGTTTAAATTGAGTTTGTAGTTACAATCCTGCTATCATGGAAAACTACAGATCCCAGATGCCAGCATCGATAAATTCTACCAAAAATTTAAAGGAACAATAAGAAAAATTCCACATAGTCTTTTCCCAAAAATAATAGTATGTGGATCATTTTCTGACCATTGTGAGGCTAGCATTATCCTGATTTGAAAATCAGGCAAAGACATATTCAAAGAAAGCTGAAGACCAGTAGCTCTCCTTCATATATAGGTAAAAATATTCAAGGAAATACTGACAAATTAAATTAACAGTGTATGAAGAGAGTAATACATTACAACCTAATAGAGTTTATCCACATAAAATGAACTGATTGGAAAATCATTCAATGTAATTTGCCATATCACCAGTAAGAAGAAAAAAGTTACACTGTCATCTTAATCAATACTAAAAATTATTTGGTAAAAGTTATGATCCTTTCCTCTAAAATATTTTCAGAAAATTATAATAGAACGGAACTTCTTTAGCAAACAGACATTTGCAAAAATCTTTCATCCATCATATTTAGTGATGAAAGACTGAATATATTTTCCCAGAGATTTGAAACAACAAAGATGACCTTCGTCAATACTCCTTCAGAATTATTCTGGAAGTTTTAGCCAATGCTATAAGACAAGTAAGAGAAATAAAAGGTATACAGACAGAAAGGAAGAAATAAAACTGTATTTATAGAAGACATCCACAAAAATATTCCTAGAATATAAAGGTGGATTTAGTAGGATCATAAAATATAGGAAAAATATACAAAAATAAATTTTATGTGTATATATTAGCAATGAACAACCTGGAGTTAATGTTAAACAAAAATAATATAATTTACAGTAATTTCAAGTACCATGAAGTTCTTATGCATATATAGATCTAAATGAATATTATGGGAGATTTATGTGTAGAACAGTATAAAATCCTGTTGACAAATCAAACATCTAATAAATGGAATGACATGTTTTGTTTATATATTGGAAGTCTTGGTATTATTAAGGTATTCTTCCCAAAGTGGTCCATAGATTAAACAGATTTTTAAGGAAAGCACAGAATTTCCTTTTTACTTTAATCATCAGATGGAAAAGAAAACAAGTTATAATAGCTAAAGAACTTTGTGCAAGCACAAATATAGGAGAAGTAAATGTACCTAACTTCGAAACTTAATGTAACGCTACAGTAATTAACATAGTATGTGAAATGCAAACACATAAATGAATGGAACATAATAGGGAATTTAGAAATAGACTCACACATTTGATTTGTGCAGTACTAGAGATTGAACTGAGGACCTCACATATGCTCAGCAAGCATTCTACCTCGTAGCTACATGACACTCCTCATAGATTTGATTTCTAACAAATTTGCAAAGCAATTTTAATAGAAAAAATTCTTTGCAACAAATAGCATGCAAACAATTGGGCATCCATACATACAGAAAACAAAACAAATATGTAATGCGTTGTACAAAATTTAACTCTGACTGTATTACACACCTAAATATCAGGTCCTAAAATTAAAAAAAAATTGAGAACAGAGGCAGACAAGCTTTTCTATAAAGAACCAAATAGTAAATGTTTTAGTTTCTGTGAGAGCAACATATGGTCCTTGTCACATCTTTTTATTGTAGATAAACTCTGAAAGCATAAAAGCCATTCTCATTTCATGGTCAGTGTAAAAACAAGTTTGTAAATCAGATTTACCCATGGGCAATCCTGTGTTTTCCCTTGTTTTAGAAGAAAGCATAGAGAAAAATCTTTGTGATCATAGATTGGGCAAAGAGTTATTAAGACACAAAAAGAACAATCCATACAAGAAAAAAACTGATATATTGGACATCATTAAAGTTGAATTACTTTAATGTTATGTGTAACAAAAGACTTGTAGATAGAATATACAAAGAACTCTCAAAACTCAGTAACAAGAAAACAGACAACCCAGTTTCTAAAATACAGTTGAAAAAATGGATAATTTAAATAGGTACCAGTCCGGGGATTTAGATCAGCGGTTCCGCCACCTGCCTTGCAAGCGCAAGGACCCGAGTTTGATCCCTGGTATCAAAACAAACAAACAAACAATAAATAGGTACCTAAGCAGTATAGACACCTGAATAGCAAAATATAAAACACATTATAAAATATAAAAATATAAAACACATATAAAACAAGGCTCAGTATAGTCATCTGCAAAATGCAAGTTAAAACAACACTAAGATGCATAATTATTAGAATTGGCTTAAAAGAAGAAGAAAAATGACAATTCCAAGTGCTACCAAGGCAAAGATGCAGAATAACTGAAAGTCACATACATTGCTAGATAGAATGCAATGATACAGCCACATTGAAATGCAGTTTGATGATTTCTTAGAGGATTAAACACGACCTTGGCACATGACACAACAACTACACTTCCATTTATTTACTAAAGCAAATGTGAGGCTTCACATAAAATTTCACAAATCAGTGTTCATAACAGCTTTAGTTGTAATCACTAAGAACTGGAAACAATAACTGGGGATTGTGATACACACCTGTAATCCCATGAATGTGAAGCTAGCCTAGGCTACATAGTTTGTTCAAGGCCAGCCTGGTCTGCATAGTGAGATTGTGTCTCAAAAACAAAAAAAGGAACTGGAAATCCCCCCAATGTCCATCATATATTCAAAAGATTCACAAAATGAAGCATAGTAAAATAATAGAATATTATTGATACATACAACTTGAATGAATCTCAAATAGATCATATTAAGTGAAATAACACATAATCAAGAGGCTGAACTTATATCACATCTTTGTAAAGGAAAAACTGTGTGTTGTATGATAGAACTGTAGTTGAGAGAGAATTGGAATTTAGGGAGAGATTACTACAACTGGGTAAAAGACCATTTTTGGGTTAAAGGAACAGTTCTATAAGTTGCTTTTAGTGGTTTTCATATGACTACATGCACTTTTGAAACTCATAAAAGTGTGCATTAACATGAGTGAAATTTGAAGCATATAAAAGTTTTGAAAAGTGGCAGTGACAAACAAGATGGAGAGAGGTGCAGTGAAGTTTCTAATGTCAAAGAGATGTTTTTCTGATAGAGAAAAGGCTTAAGGCTATTTTAGGCCATGGTCTTGAATTAATAAAGAGGAAGATATTGAAGTTTATATACTTTAAAAATCCATATATTTTGAAAATATATTTTAAACATATAAATAATTGCCGATGATGAGTTAATATTAGAGGCAATGTGTAGTTATAATATTTTGTAGTATTTGGTGAAGTTCATTTAACTACTGAGTGTTCAGTATGCTAAGTTATAAAACTATTGGTGAATTCCGTATAATCTTATCTGAGTATTTACATGAACATTTTTTCTAACGAATGGCCAGTTTTTCAAGGTCCTTGCTAAAAATTACGTGTCTTTTCACATGGATATTACGGTTCCTGTGGACTGGTGACTCAGCTGTTAGTTTTAATATTTAAACTACATTTATTTCTTAAAGGTGATGTTGGACCAAATGGGCAGCCTGGACCAATAGGACCTCCTGGGCAGCCAGGAATTGGTGTTCAGGGACCACCAGGGCCACCAGGAATTCCTGGACCAATGGGTCAACCAGGTAAGAGTGGAGTAAATGTGCAGTCCTAACAATAGGTTGGTAAGCTTATCATTGAAGTAATGCCTATGTAATAGTCTTCAAAAAATGATTTAAGAGGTAAGCTATCCATGTATATAATTTTGTAGAAATGAAAAAGTATGCATCACAGCATAACAGCCTATTTAACACCTGATTTTTCCTTCTTTTTCACCCAAGATTGATCTATTTCCAAAACTGCAGTTTAGTAATTACACTATGCTACTATTAACAGAAAATCGTTGCTTTAGACACAAATTTGTAAGCATAGACTTAAATTTCTGGTGCAGATTATTTCAGCCCTGAATATCTTTATGTCAGTAACCAACTTTTGTCTATAGGATTGCTTAACATTTCTTACAATTAGGGGTTAGCAAAAATGTTCAATAAAATATATTACAGATATTTTCATTTTCTTTCCTTCTTTAAAGATAACTGAGTTAATTTATTCCGTTTGGTCCCCAAATCAGCGCTGTAATTTTTGTATTTTTGTTGGATACTCAGAAATGTTTTTTTCAACAAAAGTTTCGCCTCCAAGAGAATCATATGTATTTTCTATATTTGCGTGAGCGTATATCAAGATTGTGAATTGTGAGTCATCTGGAGTTGTGAATTTTTTAAATAAGTATATGTTTATAATAAATATCCTGACACCGTTTGGGGGAATTAGTACACATGCTTATCAATCATTTTTACTCCCTTCCCATTCCGTGGCCTCTCCTCTCCAGTTTTCTCGAGATCCCCTTCCCATTCCCACAAAAACTACCTCCCTGTTTCCTACCATCTCACTTTTATTTTCTTCTTTCAATTATTCATATTTTGGATTTCTCATTTAAGAGAAGCCACGTTATAACCTTCTATGCCTGATTTATTCACTTAGAATTATGTTTTCAAGATCCATCCATTTTCCTATAGATGACTCAAATTTTCTCCTTCTTTGTGGATGAGTACTACTCCATGATACTGTATATGTTTTCTGTTACCATCTGTTGTGGACATATAAGCTCCTACTATAATTTAGCTATTGGGAACTGCTACTATAACCAGCTGTGTAAGTTCAGAGGAATTTTGATTTTTAGTTTTTGGGAGAATCTCCAAAATGATTTTGACAGTAATTTTACTAGTTTACATTGCTACCAATAATGTAGAAAGGTTCCTTTCCCCAATTACCTTACCAGCATTTGTTGTTTTTTGAGTTGGTGATGATAGCTTTTTCTTCCTAAGATGGGGTCTCAATGTTTTGATTTGCATTTCTCAAAAATGCTGAACATTTGATTCATGTACACATTGACCATCTGTACTTCTTTTTTGGAAAAGTGTGTATTCATTTCAATTGACCACTTCTGATTTCTTTTATTTTGAGGAGTCTGATTTCCTTTTTAGTTCTTTATATGTTTTTGGTGTTAGTTCTCTGTCCATGAAGTAGCAGGAAAAATTTTTTTTCCTATTCTGTAGATTGTCTCTTCACTCTGTTGGTTGTTTCCTTTGCTGTGCAAAAGATGCTTTTTGATATGACCCCATTTGTTGATTCTTGGTACTATTTCTGATGCAGTTGAGGTTCTCTTGAGAATGTCCTTGCATATGTCTTCAAGGGTATCATAAATTTTTTATTCCAGAAGATTTGGTGTTTCTGTTTTTTTTCTCTCTCATTGAGTTTAATGGTACATTTTAGGTATACAGTACACTTACATTCAGTATTAGGATCTTGTACCTTTACATGACAGGTCTTGGTTCTCATTTCTTCCCCTTGGCCCAGTGTTTCTGTTTTAATATCTTGGTCATTGATCTATTCTTTTATAATTTTCGTACAAAGTGAGAGATACCGGTCTAGATTTATTCTTCTCTATGTAGATAGCTGGTTTTCTTACCATTTGTAAAGAGGATATCTTTTCTCCAGCATATGCTATTGGCCACTCTGTCCAAAAATCAAGCAATTAAAGGTGCTTTTGCTTGTCTCAGCATTCTCAATTCTTTTATTTTTAATTAGTATTTGTTTGTGGAATATCATTAAAGCATTCATTGAGTGTAGTTGGTGCATGTATATGACACATTTTAATTACTTTTATATCCCCTTTTACTCCTCCAACTCCTTCAATCTCTTAATCTCCTTCCTATGTACAATGATCTATCTACATATTTCATATTGTTTATTTTTATTTGCTCTTTGACTTTATTCTGTGGGTTTCTCATGTAATAGAACCATATGATTTTTAACCTTCTTTGTCTCACTCACTTCACTTAACATTATGGGTTTAAGGTACATGAATTTTCCTAAAATCATTCAAGTTTATGTCTTTCTGGACCTATAGACTGCTTCCATGACTTAGATACTATGAACTGTGCTGCTATAAAAATGGCTGTGAATGTATCACTTTAATATAATGCCTTTAACTCCTTTGGGAAGATGCCTACAAGTAGAATAGCAGTGCCAAATGAAATTTATATTTTAAGTTTCTTGAGGAGATTCTATACTGACTTCCATGGTAGTTGTACTAGTTTACATTCCCACCAACAATATAGAATGGTCCTTTTCCCCCACACCTCACCAGAGTTTGTTATTATTTAATTTTTTTAAAGTAAATATATTGGTACATTTTAGGTATACTTTAGGATCACATATATCATTAGGAATTTGTACCTGTACAAGGTATGTCTTGGTTCTTGTTTTTTTTTCCATTCCTTTTCCTTCCCTTCCACCCCTCCACCCCTTCCTATTTACAAAAACTTTGTTTCTGTTTTTTCCTTCTTTTCTCATTTTTTTCTCCCCCCACCCCCGTTCCCATTCCCGTTTGAACCTTTCCTTCCAAGTCAGGCAGTGGAATCACTGAGCTAAATGGCCAGACCCTGAACCTTTTCACAATATTTATTATACATTTTCATCTTCGTTTATACTTTCAATTTCTCACACCAGAGAAACAATTTGGCATTTACACATATGTGTCCTGTTTATTTCACAGAAGAGTATGGTCTGAAGGTGCATCCATTTATCTATAAATGTCTCTAGTTTATCATTGGTACTCCACTTTATTTTTTAAAAAACACATTTTCTTTTTGCAGTCACCATTTGTTGGGCATTTGGGCTGTTTCCAAGGTTTAGCCTTTACAGTCTGTGCCGCTATAAACATAGGTGCACATATATTGCTATGGTATGATGCTTTTAATTCTTTCAGGACCTAACCCTAAGAATAGGAGAGTCAAATGGAACCTCTAAACCTAGTTTTCGAGGAATCTGCACACTCATTTCCACAGTGCACCAGTATACACTCCCACCAACAGTGGCAAAGAGTTTTTTTTGTTGTTGTTTGTTTTTTTAATTGAACTCAGCACCTTTCACTTCCAAGGCAGGTGGCAGCACCACTGAGCTAAATCCCCAGAGGGAAGAGTTTCTTTTTCTCCACAGCCCTGCCAACATCTGTTATTGGTTGATTTCTTGATAGCAGCCATTCTTTCTAGAGTGAGGTGGAATCTCAGCGTTATTTTCATTTGTATGTATGGAATGACCAGTGATGTTGAACATTTTTTCATATTTATTTGCTGCTTTTACTTCCTTGTCTGAGAAATGTCTATTCACTTCAGATGCCATGTTTTGGATTGGGTCTTAAAAGTTAAAGTGTCTGATTTTTTAAAGTTATTTACATATTCTAGATAGTGGTCCTTCATCTGAAGAACAGCTGGAAAAAAATTTTTTTTCACACATTGTGTGTTTTCTCTTCACTTGATTGGTGATTTCTCTTGCTGTGCAGAAGCTTTTAAATAATATGAGATCCCGTATTACTTGATTTCTTGATGATAGCTATTCTTCTGGAGTAAGATGACATTTCAGTATTGCTTTAATTTACAATTCTGGAATGACTAGCAATATTGAGCATTTTTTTCATGTGATTCTTGGCCATTCATATTTTTTCTGAGAAGTTTCTGTTCACTTCATTTGCCCATTTTTTGATTAGGTCTTTATTCTGGAGAATCTAATTTTTTTAGTTATTGTGTATTCTAGATGTTAGTCTTCTGTCTGAGTTGTAGTTTGTTTTTGTTTTTTTCATCATTTTATAGATTGTCTCCTCACTCAGGATTGTTTGCTTTGTTGTTTAGAAGCTTATGGGTATAACTTCAATCTTCTCCATGTCAATAGTCAGTTGCTGAAAAAGCTATCTTTCCTCTAACATGTGTTTTTTGGCCCCTTTATTAAAGATTTGGTGGCTCAGTGAGTCTGGGGTTGTTCTTCAATCCTCTGTCCTATGCCATTGGCCCATGTGTCTGTTTTTGTGCTAGGATCATGCTGTTTTTGTCACTATAGGTCTGTTATGTGATTTGAAATTGAATTGTAGTACCTCCTGCTTTCTCTTATTGCTCGGAATTGCTTTTGTATTCTGGTTCTCTTCTGTTCTGTTTTCATATGAATTTTTGGATTGTTTTTTCTAGTTGTGTGAAGAATGCTGTTGGTTTTTGTTTTTTTTGGTACCAGGAATTGAACTTGGGTCCTTGTGCTTGCGAGGCAGGTGGTGGTAGAACTGAGCTAAATCCCCGGCCTTGTTGTTGATATTTTGATAACGAGTGCGTTATCAGTTTTGAGAGTCTGGCCATTTTGACAATGTTGTTTATGCCTATGAAGGAAAAGGGGATTGTCTTTCCATTTTCAAATGTACTCATTTTTTAGAACACTACCGTTTTTATTGTAGTGGTCTTTTATTTCCTTGGTTAAGTTAATACCTAATATTTAATTTTTTGCTGTTATTGTAATAGTTTTGTTTTTCAAACTTCTTTTTGGAGATTTCTTTATTGGTATACAGCAATGCTATTGATTTTTGTTTTCATTTTCTCTTTTCTTGGGGGTGTGGGTACCAGAGATCGAACTCAAGACTTTGAGTTTGTGAGGCAGGTGGCAGAACCACTGAGCTAAATCCCTGGCCCTTGTTTACATTTTATATCCTGCTGTACTGCTGAATTTGATTATTCTAGGAGTCCTTTAATGGAATTTTTGGTTCTTC